TTCTTTCCCTTGACGCCTTCTTTACGTAAAAACTACATTTCCCATGAGCACCCATAGGCGTCCACGTAGCGCAGCCCTTCGTCGTCGCTCGCGCCCTTTATACTCACTTCCGCCCGCGCGCCACTTCTTTTTCTTTCGGCGGAGCGCGGCGACAAGATGGCCGTGCAAATTTCCAAGAAGAGGAAGGTGAGCCTCTGGGGACTGGGTTCGGGGAACGACTGCGCCGCGAGGGTCAGGGGCTTCTCGGGTGCCACTGCGAGGCCTGCAGCTCCGTGCCCTGCCCTGGGAAGCGGCTTAGGCTTCCTGGCATTCCCACGGGCCGCGGATGGCGGTGGATTGAGTGAGAGGCCCGAGCCAGGCGGGCGCTGTGTGGCCGGGTAAGGGAGAGACAGGTTTTTCTCTGGTTCCGAGTGAAGCACAGAGAGATGGGGACCAGGCGCCCCTTCTGTCCCGGAGAAGGCGTTTGTGAGCATTTTTTGGTCAACGGAATTAGTAAACATCGTATTTTGAGGGCGTGTGTCATTTCCCTCATGTCTTATCCCATGGTTTTGGGAAGGAGAGGCAGCAGTGTATACTTGTCTTCTTACTGGTGGAGTCTGGGTACAGTCTGCTGGTCCCACGACCTCAACATGAAGGGTTACTGACGATTGCTTGCTCCGTCTGAGGACCCCGGGAGGAAGCTGCCTCGGATTTAACGCTTTGTTATTCCATGGGAAAGAACTGTGTAAAAATTATTAGCTTTAAAAATAGACAGTTTGTCATTTCGTATACCTACACTTCGATGTTAAAATTAAATCCACAACTCTTGTGAGTTAGGATTTTCCAGCTCTGTTTACAGTTAAAACCACAGGTACCGTAAGGCCAGATAACATGGCTGGGATTCTTTAGACGGTCCAGGTTGTGTCTGCAAGTGAGAGAGCTTATATAGGTTAAGTCCACTATCTATTCTGTTCCTTCACAGTGACAAGTACAGTGTCTTTGCTGTGCTGAGTGAAGTGTAAATAGGCTATTTTAGAGCAGTTTCTTGTTTTGCATGTGGAACTGTTTTAAACCCTTCGGTGAAGAGATGATGACGAGTCTGACTTGGGGGTGTTGCCTTCGCCCAGGTTGCCTACTCTGTGCTGCATTCTGTGGCACAGTTTAAACGGCCCCGGTTGAAGTAACTTCCTAAAGATGACCTAGAGGCATTTGTCTGAGAAGGGTTGCTGCACTCCTGTTGGAACAAGGGTTTGGAACCATTGGTTGGAGGTATTTAGTTTTGGGGAGGGATCCATTGACTAATAAGACACTGGCTCAGGCGAAAGTGAGCCTACACCGATGTCCTAATTTTGAACTTCGCTTTTTTTGGATTAGTTTGTCGCTGATGGCATCTTCAAAGCTGAACTGAATGAGTTTCTTACTCGGGAGCTGGCTGAAGATGGCTACTCTGGAGTTGAGGTGCGAGTTACACCAACCAGGACAGAAATCATTATCTTAGCCACCAGGTAAAACTCACTTGACTGGCCATCACCTATAATTGTTGTAAATGCTAAGTTGGTTTATTCCTTTTTTTTTTTTTTTTTTTTTTTTTGTGAGACAGTGTCTTGCTCTGTCCCCAAGGCTGGAGTGCAGTGGTGAGATCTCTGCTCACTGCAAGCTCCGCCTCCCAGCTTCCTGCCATTCTCCTGCCTCAGCCTCCTGAGTAGCTGGGACTACAGGGGCCAACCACCATGCCCGGCTAATTTTTTGTATTTTTAGTAGATTCGGGGTTTCACTGTGTTGGCCAGGATGGTCTCAATCTCCCGACCTCGGGATCCGCCCACCTCAGCCTCCCAAAGTGCTGGGATTACAGGCATGAGCCACGGCGCCCGGCCGGTTTGTCCTTTGTGAACTTAAGGGGATAGACAGCCAGTGAGTCTGGGCTTAGTGAATGTAATTGCTTCTTAAAAGCTGGATTTTAAGGCCAGGCATAGGATCGCTTGAGCTCAGGAGTTCAAGACCAGCCTGGGCAACATGCAGAAACCCCCTCTCTAAAAAAGATTAAAAAAGGGTGTGGTGGTGCATACCTGTGGTCCCAGCTATTCCAGAGGCTGAAGCAGGCGATGGCTTGAGCCCAAGAGGTCCAGGCTGCAGTGAGCCATTGGTGTGATCCAGCCTGGGTGACAGAGAGAGACCCTGTCTCAAAAAAAGCTGCATTTTGAAAATTTAACTTTAGTTTTTGTCAATGAAAATTACATGCTTTGGCCGGGCGCGGTGGCTCACGCCTGTAATCCCAGCACTTTGGGAGGCCGAGGCGGGCGGATCACAAGGTCAGGAGTCCACGGTGAAACCCCGTCTCTACAAAAAATACAAAAAAAATTAGCCGGGCGTGCTGGCGGGCGCCTGTAGTCCCAGCCAGTCAGGAGGCTGAGGCAGGAGAATGGCTTGAACCTGGGAGGCGGAGCTTGCAGTGAGCAGAGATCGTGCCACCGCACTCCAGCCAGACTCCGTCTCAAAAAAAAAAAAAAAAGAAAATTATATGCTTTGTGGCAGAGATTTTGCTACCACATATATATGCAAGATTTAAAGTTAAATCTAGCATTTGTGAGAGTCATGAATTGTCACTTTTTCCCCGCCCAGAACACAGAATGTTCTTGGTGAGAAGGGCCGGCGGATTCGGGAACTGACTGCTGTAGTTCAGAAGAGGTTCGGCTTTCCAGAGGGCAGTGTAGAGGTGAGTGATTTTGGCGTATGCCAGAGATAATGGCTCTTCAGAATGATAACTTCTAAAAACTGGGAGACTTTGTTCATTACAAATGGACTGATATAACTTTGTTGAAATTCTCTTAATGAATAATGGGCTTAACTTTGTAAGCCTGTTCTGCTAATGGCTGATAGTTAAAGGATTTTACATTCAACTTGGGTATAGAAATGATGCATATGATGGATTGACTATCCCCATTGGTGTACTTGGTATGGCCAAAGGAGCCAGGATGGGAGGGCAAGGAACCTGCACTGTGTGTAGGTGGTAGAAGTGCTTTAGGAATTGAGGGATACTGAAATTATATGCTGTTTGTGATGGTGTTGTGCAGTCTTTTGGCCTCCGTAGGCCACATTGGAAGAATTATCTTGGGCCACACTACTGGTAGCGCAAAAAGTCACGATGTTCAATTTTTGTTGGGCCACAATCAAAGCCATCTCCTGGGCAACATGCGGCCTCTGGGTTGGGCAAGCTTGGTCTAGAAAGTGATGCTTGTGTGACAAATGCCAAATTTTCAACTTTCAGTTGAAAACAGTGGTGATGGTAACAGGATGTCCTTTCCTTCCTTCAAAGCTTTATGCTGAAAAGGTGGCCACTAGAGGTCTGTGTGCCATTGCCCAGGCAGAGTCTCTGCGTTACAAACTCCTAGGAGGGCTTGCTGTGCGGAGGTAAGTGTCCTGAGATCTAATGGTCATGACCTTTTGTGTGTATCAAAATATATGTCTCCTGTTTGTTGATTAGCAGATGAACTGTTATAAAGTGACAGGATCTGCTAGTCTCCCAGGATTATAGTAAGATACTAAACCATGCCCTCACTGAACTGGCAGACTAGCAAGACTATGAAAGCAGTGAGAACCATAAAGGGTGGTCAATGCTGTAATGGAGAAGTGTTCTGGGTGCTTTGGGAGTTCAACATAAATAGAACTGTCCAAGGAGGGGACCAACTCCTGTTGGTCTTCTCGAGGAGGCTTTACAAAGAGCCCTGTTGGGGAGTGCGGTGGGCAATGAAGAATAATTAGGCCTGTTACTGGGTGTGTGTTATGTATCCCTAGGTAGAAGTGCCTTAGTACTTGTGGGATACCATGAAACTTCAGTAGGAATCATTTGGATCTACTTAAATCCACTCTTTAAGTGTTCACTCTTAAAATGGTACTCTGAAGAGATAAGATAGACCTGATGTGAGAGAGCTTAAAATCTAGACACTTAACCTCTGAGTTGCACGCAGATAGTAATGTGAGGGTGTACTGGTAAGATTTCAACAGGAAGTTCTTTGTGCAGTTTGACTGTAAAGGCATTGAAATGCCTTGCCTAGAGGAATGATAGGAAAACTGTGCTGTAGGAAGGTTGACTGGTAGGGATGGGTAGTGTAGACAAGGCCGTAGGTAAGGACCTAGAAAAGACTGCTTACCTGGTTCGAGTGCCCGCTACGCGCTTAGAACAATGGTTCTCAGAAGATTAGTGCCAGTCCTAGATCCACCAAATAGGAAACTGGATGTGTGACTCAGCAGTCTGTCTTAGTAACCCCTCCACATGCTAGTTGCACACATTGAAGCAAGTTAATGTACTTCTGAGCCTGGGATCTACTATCTTCTAAGCTGGACCATCATACCACCTCTTAGTTGTGGAATATTAAGTAAGATAATGTGAAAGGGCCTGGAGGTGGCTAGCTCTCCGGTTAGTATCTCGCAGAGTGTAAACTACTGAATGAGTTGGGGGGTAGGACATATTTTAAAATGTTTTATCAGCATTCTAATAGCAAGGTAGCCAGGATCCTAGGTGGGTTAGCTTTCCTAGTGAATGAGACTTCGGAGGTTGCAGAGTATTACAAGGGACCACAAAGTGGGTAATTGGAGTTTAAAAATGTGGTTCTCAATTTTGATTATACGTGAGAATCACCCAGGGAGCATTTTTAAATACATGTGCCTGTACTTTGCCCATTTAATTGGCCTAGAGTAGGGCCTAGACATCAGGGTTTCTTTTGTTTTTTGTTTTAGCCTTCCGAGGTGATTCCAGTATGCAGCCAGAGTTGGAAAGTACACGTTTAGGAGCTTGACATACTTGATGAATATTACCCTAAGATTCCGTGTGATAGGTGTGGAAGAGAATTGATATCATTGGGGCCAGACTCCGGTCAGATTTATTCTCCATTAAAGGAACATTGAATACTAAGTTTTTGTTTTGTTTTTTAAACTTGGTGGAGGTCCTTGATAATAACACAAGTGGATCTCTTTTCTTCTAAAGGGCCTGCTATGGTGTGCTGCGGTTCATCATGGAGAGCGGGGCCAAAGGCTGCGAGGTCGTGGTGTCTGGGAAACTCCGAGGACAGAGGGCTAAATCCATGAAGTTTGTGGATGGCCTGATGATCCACAGCGGAGACCCTGTTAACTACTACGTTGACACTGCTGTGCGCCATGTGTTGCTCAGACAGGGTGAGCAGCTGAGAGTGCTTGTCAAAGGGCATTTGTGGATAGATTTGGTTTTCCACAGACATCTAAAAATTTGGGGGAGTTTATCATGGAAGCTGCTGGGTATGTTCATATTCCTTGGTATATCGATTACCACATTGATCTGTAAGAATCAAATTGCTGAGACCTGTCAGATCCAAGAGTTGGTTTGTCTTTTTCAGCCATCTGTGTACCCTTCAGTGATGACATGATGACGAGTCAGAAAGGTCACCTCCTGCTCTTGGTCCTTGTCAGTACCATGTTCTGTGGTGCTGTGCATGAGTTCCTTCTGCAGAAGTGTCCTATTCATTGATTGATTTAGAGGCATTTGTCTGAGAAGGGACCAGACCCAGGAGTGCTTGAGTAAACTACTTGCTCTCTTTGGTCTTGTGTGATGGGGGCCGGTGAGATCCCAGCTGTGTGCTAACAACTGTGGTGTCCTCTAGGTGTGCTGGGCATCAAGGTGAAGATCATGCTGCCCTGGGACCCAACTGGTAAGATTGGCCCTAAGAAGCCCCTGCCTGACCATGTGAGCATCGTGGAACCCAAAGATGAAATACTGCCTACCACTCCCATCTCAGAACAGAAGGGTGGGAAGCCAGAGCCGCCTGCCATGCCCCAGCCAGTCCCCACAGCGTAACAGGTATGTCTGCAGGGGCAGGGGCCTCTTGGGGTAGAATAGGGTCCTTCCTAGTCTTTCTGTTAATACTTGTATCCCACATTCTGGTAAGCATTTGGTGAATAAAAGTTGCATTTATTTACTTTATGTGGGAGAATACAAGTTGAAACCTGGGGTCTATTTAACCCTCAGTTGGGTTGGGACAGGTGTTTGCCTTTATTTTCAGAAGTTCCTGCTTTCACTCGTGTGTATGAAATGAAATAGGTTTCCCTTATCTTCCCTTAATTGCTCAAGTTTTGTTTTTTTTTGTTTTTTGTTTTTTTTGTTTTTTTTGTTTTTTTTTTTTGAGACATAGTCTTGTTCTGTCACCCAGGCTAAAGTGCAGTGGCACGATATTGGCTCACTGCAACCTCT